CAGAATTCAGAGACAGAATAAGGACAACACTGAGCACATATCTGTGCGGAAGTGAAAACAGTGTAACGGGGGACATTCTGAAGACGTGAGCTGTTTCGGTGGAATCACATCCTCCCGCCCACCCAGCACCTTCAAGGCCCGGCCATCCCCTGACACTCTGAGTTAATCTGTAATGGAGTATCAGTACTAAGACACTGTATATGTGCCTGTCATTCCTCTTCCCCAAAGTAAACAAGAGAACGGAACCACACAGGTTTTAGCACATAATACCTTAATGACATCAAGCAGTGTCCTGAGACTCAGCAGTGATAAAACACTGCAGTTCAAAGCAGAGACCGCGGAATTTCAACTTAAACGATCAACGAGAAAACGTTTAACATTTTGCTGGGAAGAAGGCAGCCAAAAAGTCGTTCGCATTTCCGCTGTTCGGTGTGGTTGAATACGCCCGTGCTTCTAAACGCTCCCTTTTCTCTCATGGGCTTATGGGGTTGTATTGATGACAAGCCAATTGAGTGGCAACCCCCACCACAGTTGGAGTGACCCTGAGAGGACAGGTCTGCCTGGCCCTCAGGGATGGGGACGCCCTCTTACTGTTCTGGGGTTGTCCCCTCTTCCTACCCCTCATGTCCTACACAGAGCAAGCAGGGTCATCAACCCCTAGACCAGCCCCCAGTGTCATCCTCTGGGCTGGGAGAGAGTGGCGACACTTACGACACAGGCCTGGTATAGGAAGACTGGGCCACTGGGCTTGGGGCATAGGAAATCTAGCACTTACGGCGAGGGAAAAAAAAAAAAAAAATGGAATCCACCTCGTTACACCAAAGCTGGCAGTCTAAACTCATTCACGAAACCACCTCAGGGTAAACGACCTGAGATCTGGATGCCACCAGGCACTGCGCATGCTCTCGGTGGAAAACACCGCGTCCCAGGCCAAGGGTTCCCCAGCAACTGCCGGGCGCCGGCTCGGGGACACAACCAACATTTGGGAACACGAAAAGGCGACACATGCTGCTCTCTCTGCATGCGGCACTGTAGGAGGAGCGATGCTAGTGACTTAAAACCGTCTTTTCCAGAGCATTTACCTCCTAAGGCCTTGACTGGGCAAATGATTCTAAAATCTCCCTGCCGAAGTCTGCGGGCAAATGGACTGCAGCCTGATGCGCACAGGTTTAAAAGCCCCTCGTCAAGCATCAGCCGCCAGCGTGTGAGTCAGGCTCCCTGGGAGCCGAGGCTGGCTGGTCGAGGTCAGAGCTTACACAGAGTTGCACTCCATTATCTGAGAATGCCTTATCCCCAGAGGTCCAGGGCCAGCTTCGTCTAAGCCAAATGGAGATACCAGGGCACGAGGCCACTGTCTGAGGGTGTGAGACTTGTCTGTGAGCCTTCAGATAGGGCCGAGGGCATCTCCGGGTTATTAGGGCCTTTTAAAAATAAATACATCGGCTTAAAAATCTTAAACTTTTCATCCCCTTGTTTCTGAGACTTTCCCCCTGGACTCTTTCTTTAGTGTGGAAGGATAGCCAGTGAAAAGAGAATGTTAAATTCTAAATGTGGATAAAAATGTACATCCAACGTGCTTCAAAAGGAATTAGTTTAGTTAAAAAGTTGTTGTTGTTGTTGTTTTTTTAAATCAAGGCCCATATGTATACAGAAATTTCTTATTCCCTTTTATTTTCATTTAACTGCCTATCTGGAATTATAATGAGGAAATGAAGTCATTCTGGAATTTGTTGAATGTACTGTGTGCTGACTGGTAGAATACAAGAGATACAAGTTTGATAAGGGACCGGTTCTTGTGTTTGGTGGCCTTGAGCTTCATACTGTTTTTATAAAGCAGTGCTGACAAATTTCTCCTAGAGGAGGATAAGTACATGGCAGCTTACCTAAGAATACTGTCATGGGTAAGCATTTTGGAAGAGTGTAAGCTAAAGGATATTAAAATAGTTCCGGGCAATTTAAGCTCCATGCTTCTAATAAAAATACTCATTAGCCAGGTCTCACATATAATCAATCAATTATTTTAATAAAAGATGCATTAGTTTGGTCCCTCATGAAAATTCTGGTTAACAGAAAAACAGAGTCGGTATTTTATGGCGTCCAAATCTGACTTACGAAAGTCTAATAATGGATCTCCATCCAGAAAGTTGACAGACTTCGTGGAAAAAATGACCGAGTTACCTCATGCTGTTTTTTCCTTACTCTTAACACTCCAGGTCGCGAAAATGGAAGAGAGAGACGGGGGCAAAGAAGCGGGAAAAATGCATAAAGACAGAACAAGTCACTTTCTTAAGTTCTCATCGAAATATATGTGAAAAGTCAGGTCTGCCTCGTGCTGGAATTGAAAAGCTCTTTCGAAATAGTTAACCACCAAAATTCAAAACGAAACAGAAAAATCCTTAAGATGGGCCCAAGGCAGGGTTTAAGAACTGTCACCAAACTGTGCCATATCCCTAACACTGCCGTTCGTTGTCATCTCGGCACCAGCTCCTCGGCTGTGCCTCAATTCCCATTAGACCAATTCAACACTCTTCATGAAGTCCAAGGTGCGTCATAGCCCCTCGTGGCTTGATAACGGCTTGACAGTTTGAACCAAGCGATGGGCGGACCTGGACGATCGGGAATAAATAATATTCTAGTTCCGTGTGCAGAAACACGTTTTCCAAAGCTGAGCTTCAGAAAGAGAACTCAGAGTTCAGTTTTGTGGCCTCATCAAAGATAAGCAATTCCTACTGAGCTTGTTGTTCTTAGGAGAAGCCTCTGAATTCGTTGGACGCGACAACAAATATCTCAGTCTGGGAGCATAATGTGGGATAAACCCTGGGCCCTCTAGCGGAGGAAGATGCCCAAATAAACTTGCAAAATTCTTGTTTTTGAGGATAGAAGTGACTATAGTTTAGACATAATCCATGTTATAAACCGAGCATATATATTTTGGGCAAATACTCCAGTTGAGAGCCAATCTATGCCATCCTCCCTGCTCCCCCAAATAAAACGAGACGAAGATGCATTTCGGGCAGTGCCTCTGGAATTCAGAAGCGCTGTCACTGGCTCCTGGAGAGGGCCGTGCTCTGGGCCCGTGGTGTGGGCAGCAGCCGGGGACAACGCTCACGGTCAGCCTCTGTTCACCCCCCGCCCGCGTCTGGGCCTTCTCTACAGGGTTCCTGCCCTACTGGTGAGGTTCTTGGAAGGAAAGTGACTTTTACTCTTTCCATATGGTGGAGCTGGAAGCTGGGTCATTTGATTTATCCTTGTTAAACTGTAAATGAAGTTAATTTTACCGTGCCAGGAGTCAGGAATAGATAATGTTCCCGCTTGAGGGAATAGATGGCTTGCTTCACAATGACGGGGAACTTTTCCTCGGAATGTACTGGGAAAGACTCCGAAAACAGACAAGGAGGAAGAGACTTTGTAATCTGAAAACATTCTCTTTGAAATGGTAGAAAGGTACTTCTGCCAAAGTCTCACCTGGCAAATTCATAGTCTCAATAAATTTTTTTTTTTTCATTTCATGACTTTAAGATAGTTGAATTAAAATGGCCTGAGATTAATTTATAATCAAATCGCTATTCTCAATCACTAAAATGTGCAAGTCATCTGAAGCAGCCAAGACCTAAAACTAACTTGATTATCTTGCAAACCTGCAGACAATTGGCAAGGTCATAGATTGTGCTGCAATTGAGCTATGTGCTGACAAACAGAACTAGCATTTTCTTTTAGTGCATGTATTGGATTAAAAAAATACCTTCCCTGGCTGTGACTCGTTTCCATGCATTCTGATGCTGCTATCTACAGTTTTAGCAGAAACAATGGAAATACTGGTAAATCAGAGCATTTAAGAAATTAGAATTATTTAATTTTTACTAACGGTTGTAAAACTTAGTGAACGGAGGGAAAAAACTACCCAAAATATGTGCTATAAAATCCTCCCCCTCTCCATGAGGTATCACCAGTTGTCAAGAAAATGCCAAAATGAACAGTCTTTCAAAAGACATCCTAAACTGTCAGGCAAGAACAATTCTCACTGAATGTGGGAGGAAGGGAGAGAGGAAAATAAAATCGGATGTCTTTTTCTGGAAGGTTTAGATTAAAATCTCAATGCTCTACTTCAGGGCCTCTAAATAATTATGCTTTACCCAAAATAAAGCCAATCTGAGAGTCTCAATTTTCAGGGAAGTTGGCGACCATCTGTAGGCGGAGCCAGGCCTACCCCAAACGGAAATCAGTGTTACCTCGTTTGCAGCCATCCATTTTCTGTTCATGGATGAAAGGAAAATTTACATTGTCTCGGACCTTAGTTGCTTCTTTTACATTGTACACAAACTATTTTGGAACGGATGTATTTTAAAACGTATACGAGCATGGATTATTTCCTCTTTAACCTACGTTATAATTTCATCTTTGTGATTCATTTTCTTACCAAATTAACACTCCGGCAGAATTATATTTGAAGGATTCCTATGGTGAATTATTCGGGAAGATGAGGAATACTTCATTCCAAGTATTCTGTCATGTGAAATGACTTACAAAGATACAATTTCCCTTTAAGCATGGTTCTCAAAGCCAAGCTATATCTGTGTTCATGGCATTGATTCTTAGAGATAAGGAAAAAATAAATCTTGAGTCATATTGTCTAAACCTGACGGAAGGGGTCAGTACTTAGAAATACTTCCCTATCATCATGCACAAGCGACATTGCTATGGACCTTCACACAGTCTCTCTGGGACTCCTTATAGTCTATATGCTCATGTCGGTGTGAAGCACATGTTAAAAGAAAACCAACCAACCAACAAACAAAAACAACAACGTCCTTTTCATCCTTTGCTGGCAGGTGGCGGGAGACCTGATTTTTTCAGAAGTCCCATAGCATTTAATGGCTCGTGAAAGACAACCGCGGGGGCAGATGGGCAAGACCCAGGGCTGTGGCTTCGCCTGTCACTTACGCTCTCCACGCCACGTCTTTGATCAGACACGCAGTCGGCACCAGGAATAACCCCAGCCAGAAGTGTGCGGAACTCAGAACCATCGCTGCCTGCAAGACACAGAAGCGACATGGGCATTAATACTTTTTCTTCCCAAAATGGCGAGACGTAATTTAACCCCGGTCAAACATCTCATAACACTGAAGCAGCAGGGAGGAGTAAACTCAGTGGAGGCTCCAACGTGCACCAGGAAGAGCTTCGATGGGCTGAGCGCTCCTCCACGATCTCTACCGGCTCTCATCTAGTTCTTTTATTGTGACAAGGGTTGTCACCGCTCTCTTTCCATGAAGTGCTTGAAGCCCCTGTGAGATCAGAACACTGTCCTAAGTCCCTCCTGCAGAGAAATGTTGGACAAATGTCGGGGCCACCAGAATAAACTTTGACCCACTAGGGTCCTGTCATCCGCCTCACTATTCATCGGGCATGGTCCTTGGCTGCTCGTTCATGCGGCAGAGCCAGTGTCTTGGAGCAAAGCACTGTGGTTCCCAACAGCCAGAAGAGGAGGGCAAACAGGTTCGTTTTGCCTTTGAAGAACTTAAAGTTGTGTGGCACGCGCGCACACACACACACACACACACGTGTGGTATAATTTACATGATACAGTGGAAGACCGTTGTCACAATCCTGGTTTACAGGTGACTATTAGAAGGCTGGGAAGACTCATTAAAGCAGACAGAATGGGGGATGTGCCTGGAAAGATACGCAGGACTGGACCAAGACAGAGAGAGGGAGGGATGGAGTCCCCAGTGGCGGGATGCACGACGGGGAGCAGCTGTTCTTGGTGGCGCTGCTGCTGGCACGCCGGGTCGGAGCCTGTTTGGGAGGGAAAAGGTAAAGAGGGTTTGATGGAACAGAGTTGCAGGGCCAGATCCGATGCCAGTGAGGTGAGCGGCAAAAGCAGAAGAGGACACGGCTCTGGACAGAAATGGGGTTGGGGGTACGGAGCCCTTAGATTTTGGTTTCGAGCGAGCAAGGCCGGGAGCATGGCGCTGGCTGGCGGGAGGAGGGGCGGAGGCACTATGAAGGTCCCGGACCCTCGCAGGGACCTGGTAGGGCTGAGAAACGAGGGGGGCCCCTGAAGTAGCCCTCTTCATGCTGCACAGAGAGAGTGGGGTTCTCCCCGGCCCTAGCCTGTTATTCAACCTTCAACTTGCTCTTTGATTTTGACCTTCTCCTCCAGTCGGCTGGCCAAACACGCCGAGGCCTTTGCCGCTCCACCTGACTGCTCCTGAGCGGGGGGCGGGGGGCCCCTCTCACTGCTTTTCCGTCCGTCCCCAACCCCCTGCAGCCACGGCCAAGCACATGCCCAGCCAGGTCTGTCTTGCCTCTGAACCCCATCACGTAGCCCCGTTTGTGGTCCTCGGAGGTTATGACAAAGAAACTGAGACGTGGTGAGGTTTGGGGTGAAGCTACACTCCAGCCCTGGCCCTAGCAAACGGCTTTCCTTTCTAAACACAAGAGTGCCACCTTTTTGGAGGAACAATTTGAAACGTGAAACACCGGTGAGCTTTGTCCCATCCATCCCAGCTCTCAGAATTCATCCTGAGGAAATAAGTAAGAAAATGTATAAAGAAGCAGGTATAAGAATATTCACATAGCGCTGGACTATTAAAAAAAGTAAGAGGTAAATGCCCAAGAAAAGGACTTACTAGGACATTGAGGTCCATCCCACGGACCGCTATGCAGCAATTCAAGGGATATAGAACCACATTTGTGGGCAGAGAGAGAGGTCATGTTATACCGCTAATGACAAATCTGGGTTCTGAGAAAACGCTTTACAGGGGCCGGGGCCGGGCGTGTGGAGTAGGAAGGTGAGTAGCTCAAGCCTCCAAACTGTACTTGACATGTCACCTTCCCACGAAGGCCACTCACAAGTCCCCGCATCTTTGGGTTAATACATATGTCAGAATACGCCGATCTACGCCACCATTTGTGTCTTCCGGTTTTAGTATTTCCCCACCTTTAAAAAACACATCTCAGGACTTCAGAAACGGTGGCGTGGCCCCGGCCTTGATGCCTCAGACAACCAACCAATCCCTTTGCACATGTGCATGCTGATGTGTTCGGGGGGAGGAGCGTCTGGGTACCACAGTTGCCAATTTTTATTTGGCTATTTCTACTTCCTGTTTGTTTGTTTTTTTTTTCCTATAGAAAACATATATTGCTTCCATGAAAGAAAACTTAAACTCGCCCCATCCCCTTCCAAGCAAACTATAAGGAGATGGATTAGCCAGCTCCTCTGTGGTCCATCTCTCATCGCCAACCCTCTGGCCTCGGGGGATGGGGGGGTCGCGACTGGGGTCCCAGGAGCCCAGCTGGGAGGACCCCTGGGGTTTTGTGGTGCTTGGCCCCGGAAGGCGGACTCTTCAAGCTGTGCTGTGGGCCTGCATCACAGGTCGTCCGCTAGGTGTACTTATCAAAGGATGCGATCGCTTAGAAATAACGTTTCGCAGCCGTAATGCCCCATTGTAAAAATATTGTGGAACTGGGAACTTTTCTTTGCAGGAGGACCCCTGGGGTTTTGTGGTGCTTGGCCCCGGAAGGCGGACTCTTCAAGCTGTGCTGTGGGCCTGCATCACAGGTCGTCCGCTAGGTGTACTTATCAAAGGATGCGATCGCTTAGAAATAACGTTTCGCAGCCGTAATGCCCCATTGTAAAAATATTGTGGAACTGGGAACTTTTCTTTGCAGAAGGAAATAATTATGGAAAGTGAATTCGAGCTGC